TTTTTTAAGTATGTCATTAAAGCATTATATATTTTATAATGATTCAAGCCATTATTCAACAAGAGTTTTAAGTGTAATATTTTCTATCCCTATTTCTTTTAATTATTCCAACAGAAATGCTCTTCTGTTACAATGTAATGGTACATGCTCTGCTGTTTCTGGTAATCCACACAGACTACAGTTCCCAGACTCATGCTTATTAAAGAAGTCTGGTAATGATTGTATCTTCTCGTCTACTACCAACATTAACTCTTTCAACCCCAACTTGATTTTGAATATGATAAAGATGACTTCCCCTCATTTTTGACGTCTCACCTCGCCACGCACGCGCAGAATAACGCTCCAATCAGACCGAGGCGGAGAATCTTCCTCATGAATATTAATTAGAATTCTTAACGTTGACACGATTTTATTAATATTAAGTAGATTATAAATTCGAAGACTTTTGTTAATGATTCAGATATGCTACACACTGACTGATTACGAAACTTACATTCGTAATATATATATATATTTTTTTGTAACATTAAAACAAATACAGTCTTCAAAAGTTTGGGGTCAGTAAGATTTTTTCAGATATGCTACACACTGACTGATTACGAAACTTACATTCGTAATATATATATATTTTTTTTTGTAACATTAAAACAAATACAGTCTTCAAAAGTTTGGGGTCAGTAAGATTTTTAAAAAACAAATCAGTACTTTTATTCCGCAGGGAGGCACTGAATTAAACAAAAGTCACAGTAAAGACATTAATAAAAAATTATATTTCAAATGAATGAATCTTCTGAACTTTCTATTCAACAATAATCACAGTTTCCACAAAAATATTGTGCAGCACAACTGTGTTCAACTTTGACAATAATCAGAAATGTTTCTTTAGCAGCAAATCAGCATATTAGAATGATTTCTGAAGATCATGTGACTCGGAAGACTGGAATCTTTTTAATATATCTTTTAAACAGAAACTAGTTATTTTAACTTGTAATAATATTTCACAACATTACTGTTCTTTCTGTATTTGTAACGAAATAAAAAATATAATGAAAAAATGAAGCAATGCGGCCTTGATGAGTAATAATTTTTTATATAATGCAAAAAATCACAATATAAAAATCTGTATTGTTATTATGATTTATAGTTTTATATACAGTAATAATAAATGTGTAAAATTAAGATTATATATATAGTTTTTACAATAAACAGTGACACAAAGCCAAATGTTCTATATCTTAAAATATATTTACATAGAAAACTTATTTTAAAGAAAAAATATTTGAAATTGTAATATTTCACGATATTAGTGTTTTTAGGTTTTTTGTTTGTTTGTTTGTTTTTTATTAAATAATGAAAAAAATTATTAATTAAATTTCAAAAACATAATATAGTACAATATTCATAAAAGAAAAATGTTAATTATATAGAGAAACTGTTATTCTTATTTTTAAAGAAAAAATGTTAAATTGTAATATTTCACAATACTACCTTTTTTATTAAATAAATGCATGCAGCCTGGGTGAGCAACAGATGTTTTTTTTTTCAAAAACATAAATATAATACAGAAATACACATAAAATAAAAATGTTAATTACATAGAGAAAATTATATTCTTATGATCTATAGTTTTATATACAGTAATAATAATGCAAAAATAAGATTACATTTTTTTAAATCATAAACAATGACACAAAGCCAAACATTCTACATCTTAATTTTTATTTATCGACATTTGTGCAAAGTATATTACAGTACATTACATACAATCAATCCACAGAGCTGTGTACAAGTAGATTTGTCAGACTGCTATGGCTGGATAAAGCCTTTTCCGTTCATTCAACGTACATATTTAGAACAACCAGCCTAATAAATATAGTGTGTTTTCTCATAAATGATATTATCACATGGTAGATTATTTAAAATCTTGTAACAGTTCTCATGTAACTAGGGTTAAAATGAGAAAGATACATTCACCTCCCAAGTCCCTGTACCAAGTGCAAAGTCAATTCCATGATAGAAGAAAACAAATCATCATTAAGGCTTCATTTTTGCGCAGACAGATATTTCCGTCAGCAACTGATGGCAAGACGACCCATTTAACATGAACTCACAGAACAACAATGAAACATTAAATCAGAGAAGACACCACAGCCAGTGCATTTAAAAATGATCTATGACCCTCTAGGCAGGTTTTTAAAAATTGAGCGAGAACCGTCTCCACTGACAATACAGGTCTTGAGGAACAGATGAGCTCAGAAGTATTGATGTAAACATGAGGTTTCTCTCTAAATGCATTCATTCTTTCACGGTTCATAAGGAACATTATTCGAGAACGAGACACCGACACCCTGCAAAGATTCAGCCGTGAGGAAAATTCATCGTGAGCTTTGCGGGATTCGGCCCTTTGCTTGCACATTTTGCAAAAGGGATAAAAAAAATGTTTTTGGAAATCAAGATGATAATTCCTTACGGAGTTCACATTTCAACATAAACGTCTTCAAATGTAGTAAAGAGGAAAAACATATAAAATCAACACCCTTCAGTACACTGCAAAAAATCAGTCTCTTAATCAGTATTTTTGCCTTGTTTTTCAGTGAAAATATATATAAACATTTTTAATGTTTAAACAAAATGTTTAAAGCATCTGTAAAATTGATGTTGCTTCTCAAATAAATTTATTTGGTTTGAGGATCAAACAAGATTAATTTAATTGAGAAGCAAAACTGTGTATTATAAATTTTACAGACTGTTTTAAAAGAGTTTCATTTTTCAGTTTTAAGCTTTATTTATTTATTTAAAATACATTTATTTTGTTTAAGGATCAAGAAAGCTGAATTTACTTGAGAAGCAAAATTGCATAATTTCAATTTTTCAGAATGTTTTAAAATTAAGTTTAATTTTAGCATTATTTATTTATTTAATTTCTGGTTTTAAGCATCAATCTCAAAACAAAATTTAAGGAGCTTTAAGCCTAAAGCAAGAATAAAAAGTGGTCAAGAAGGTGAGAAAAATAAATGCAATTCAAAATATATTCTGTGTATATATAGTCTTGTATTACACTAAATATGTAATGCTATAAGAAAGTGTTGATATTTTTAATGATAAATAAGACAAAAATACTGTAAGAACATTTTGGCAGTGTACAAAACAAGATGATTTAAATGGGTGCTGGGATTAGAAACACACATTCACACACTCTTTCGAAGGGCAGGACACTGAATTGTACATGTGCAAAAAAAATTTGACAAATGTGTGATTCCAAAATAAAAATAAAAACCTGAGACAAACAATTTGTTGTACGCAGTGCACAACGTTAAAACCAGTCCTGGTCACCGGTGAGTGTTTACTTGTACTTTCCCTTTAAAGCCCTTCGACCCCATTTCCCATTGGCTCTTTCATTAGTCCCTCCCCTTTAAATGACACTTCGCCTCTTCCTATTGGCCCGTTCCGCTGGGCAGCTCAGATATGACAGGGTAAAGGCACATAAGCAGGTAGTGAGTGTCTGAGGGCAGTGCATTGGTTTCAGATGTTCTCGTCCTGAGGAACCTCTCGTATGCTCTCTCTGAGCTCAGGCCGAACACGCGGCCGCTGGCGTATGCTGCGTCCCGACGCGATGAGGTCGGCGTAGCCGCGCGAGTGCGAGAAGGCGTAAGCGGAGCGACGAGAGCGTCCGCCGCGCTGGAATGCTGGCTGCTTCTTCTTCTTCCTCTCGTCTTCTTCATCCTCAAGCTCATATTTCTTCCTGTTCCTCTGGACCTGCAGGAAGAACGTGAGGCTGTAATGTCTCTGCATATGTTGTGCTGTATTGTATTTAACCCAGAATGTTCCTCATCATTAGGTTTTTTAAGGATCTCACCTTGTCTCCGACCGAGGGCCAGATGGTCTGATAGAGGAACTGGATGCAGATGACGGGAAGGAGACAGATTCCCACCGTCAGGATGATGGTCAGCCACAGGTACGGCTGTCTCAGAGCGTTAGACGCCGCGCCTTCGGGTCAAAACAACAACCGGGTTACACAGCAACCCACAGCACAGTCTCTGTTTGAGATTAAACCGTGCAAATAACAGTGCAGTAAAGGGCAGCAGTATGCCATGGAAGGTTACAGCCAAAATGTGATATTTTAGTATTATTTACATACTATTATAGTATTTATTCATACTTTAAATTTGGTTTATTTTTTATCATTTCTGTTTTCATAGTTTTAGTCATTTTGTTCTGCTATTTTGTCATTTGTATTAGTTTTGTTTTTAAATATTACTTTTAGCATTTATTTTTGTATTTTCAGGTTTTAAATTTTAATTTTAATTAAATTTTTTAGCAATGTTATTTTGTGCATTTGCCATTTGTAATTTTTTTAATAGTACTATTATAATTGTTTTTTTGTTTTTTTTATTAGTTTTTATTGTAATTTTACTTTAATTTCTAATAATGTTTTTATGCACTTTTGTCTTTTCTTTAGTTTTTGTTTTTAAATATTACTATTAGCATTTATTTTTGTATATTTTATTTTATTATATATATATATATATTTGGAAATATTACTAATTAGCTTTATTTAATTTTTTTTTCCAGCTTTAGTTTAGTTTTAGTTTTTTATTATTATTTATTATTAATTTCCAGTAAGCCATTTTAGTTCTTCAACTTAAACTTAGTTGCCAAGTTAACATTTTTAATTTTCATTCAGTTTTTTCCATCTAATATTTAGATGCTATTTCAGCTTTATTTAAATTAACAAAAATGTTTTTAATAGTTTTCATTTTAGTTAGTAAAAGATTTAGTTTAGTAAAAGAAGCTTAGATTTCTTTTTAAATGCATATAAAAAAAAAATTTTTTTAAATAGTGCATATTTGATAAATTACTTTGACTGCAATTTACATGAATATAACAAAATTGAATAAATAAATGAATATATAAAATAATACATGATCATCAATCAACCTTTTTGACCATCATTTTATGTCAAAAGGACCTGTCATTATTAAATTCTGTAGCTTTTGAATTACATTTTTATAAAAAAAAACATGTATATCATAAAATATTTCAAATGCATATCAAATGCATATATTCAATGTAAAACAAGCTTAAATTTCTTTTTTCTTTTTTAATAGTTATTTATGCATTTTTTATATAAAATAATACATGATCATCAATCAACCTTTTTGACCATCATTTTATGTCAAAAGGACCTGTCATTATTAAATTCTGTAGCTTTTGAATTACATTTTTATAAAAAAAAACATGTATATCATAAAATATTTCCAATGCATATCAAATGCATATATTCAATGTAAAACAAGCTTAAATTTCTTTTTTCTTTTTTAATAGTTATTTATGCATTTTTGATCAATTCGTTTTAACTTAATTTAATTTGTATTATTTTATATTTTAAAACAATAATAACACATTTATATTTAATTAATATATAAACCCGATTCATTGAATCAGATTTCTATAAAAACATGTATATCATGTAACCTATAAAAAAGCCTAACATATAAATCACAATAATCATGCAATTTTTCACAGATTGTGACTTTTTGCTCATTCATATCACCAATCCCTATCGCTGTCATTTTTACACGATCTCAGACCATCATGTGTCATGAAAAGCACGGACTACTTTAATTTTTGTTTCGAGTTTCATTTTTGGAGCCTCAGTTCTATTATGAAAACCACCACCAGACACTGTGCAATAAAAGCTAGCATGACTTTATCACAAACCTGTGAAAGTGAAGGTGGTTGGGAAAATGACGTGGATTCCTGCGCTGTGGATGTCAAACATGACGCCGAAGTAAATGGCTATACTGCCGAGCACCGCAAAAAAGTTCACGAACGTCCAGTAGGAGGTGTTCAACGAGATCTGGGCCACAAAGAAACAATATTACATTAGATCAATGAGAAGAGCCTCTTCTGAGCACGGATTCATTCACAGTTCACGAAGATCTGATCAACATGCAAGTTCAGTTCAAGTTAGAGACACACAAAATGCCTCTTTATTTGGACACTGAAATGTCACATGATCGAAATCGACCAATCGGGCACCTGCAGGTTGACGGTGATGATGAGCGATGAAGCTGCGACCACAGCGAACGACTGGTAATCGGACGGAGCCTCGCCGTCCTGTCCCATGGTCTGCAGGAACGCGCCGTACGGGATGAAGAAGGTCATGAGGGACGTGAAGATGCCGTGGAACAAGCTGATGAAGAAGTTCTTGTAGTTAAACAGCGATCCTTGCTGCCCCGGGAGATACAGCTTCGGGCAGCGCAAACTTATTTTGTCATTCACATCCTACAGGAGTAAACGTGTCAGTGGTGTCAGTTTGGATTTCATGGTGACTTTAGAACAGATTGAAGCTGGTACGGAACTGATACCTGATCCAGAAGGCCGACGAGGAGAACAGGCAGACTGCTGTAGCAAACGTTGTATAGAGCGATGAACCAGTCTTCATATGCCGTCTACAAAACACACACAACAACACGTCAGCAGTCACTTCTTTCAAAACAAGATTCACACTAAATGCTGTGAACTCCATCTCTGCATGTGCTTAAAAGACTTCCCTGCAGTTTTCCACCAAAAATGAAAGCTTGGGGGTTAAACTCTTGTTAAAATGAAGATGTTATTAAAAAAAAATAATTTAATATACTTATTTCGAAATATTCATTTTTTTTACATTAAGGTTGTATTAGAATAGAAATATATTCCAGTCTTAGAAATAATACTTATACTAATAATACTACTACTATTATTACTACTAATACTGATACTAATAATAACTAGAAACAGCAACCATAATAATTATAATGCTTCTGTTGTTGTTGCTATCATATATCAATTTATTATTATTATTTCTAATACAGAAATATATTACTATTGTAAAACAACTGAATAGTAAAATAAATATCTTAAAAATGTGTAAATTGTTATTTTTTATTATTATTTTATAACAGCACTGTAAGATAAATATATTAAATAATATATAGTAACTTGATAATCATGCTAACAACATGCTAATCATGCTAGAAACATGCTAGTAGCTTGCTAATGCTGTTAACAACATGCTAGTAACACCCTAGCAACCTACTAGAATACCTTAGCAACCACATAGCAACACCCTAGCAACCGACACAGGCACCCTAGCAACAGCATAACACCACCCAAAGAACCATCCCGGGTACCTTAGCAACACCCTAGCAACTGCCCCAGGTACCCTAGCAACCACCCCAAGTACCCTAGCAACCGCATAGCAACACCTTAGCAACCACCCCGGGTAGCCTAGCAACCGTAATAGCAACCAATCCAAGTACCCTAGCAACTGCATAGCAACACCCTAGCAACTATCCAGAGTACCTTAGCAACCACATAGCAACACCCTAGCAACTACTCTGAGGTCCTTAGCATCTATCTATCTATCTATCTATCTATGTCTCTCTCTCTCTGACAGACTGTATTGCCTTCAAAACATTCAAACTATAAGCTTTTAAAATTACTTTAAACTTCAAACTGTTTCAGACTAAAAAAAACATTAAACTTAAAACTTCTCTGAACTTCTTAAACTTTTTAAAGTTTTAAACTTTTTCAAACTTTCTGGTCCGGCTTTCTCAAGCCAACTTAAAGTTTGTCTAGACAAACTTTTTTATCTAGTTATTTCTAAGACAGAAATATATTACTATTGTAAAACAACTGCATAGTAAAATAAATATATTTTAAAAATATGTAATTTGTTATTATTATTGTTATTATTCCGCTATAAGACCTGAATCTCAGATGAGAGTTTCATTTGATAGGAAAATCCTTTGATTATGGTCAAAAGTAAATACATTTGAACTGTGCCCTTAATGTTGAGGCAAATTTTCCCCATGGTATCGAGAAAGCTACTGAATATCAGTATTTTAGTTTGAAATTCCAGTATTGTGACAATACTACCATAAAATGTCCAAAACGTCTGTAAATCAACTCTCAGTGTAAATCTCTCTCTTACCTGTGAGGAAAATCCATTGAAGAAGGAGAACCAGAAGTGCACCAGGGTGAAGGCGAAGTTCTTGTAGAAGAAGTAGCGCAGGAATTTGCACATGCGGATGTAGGACCAGCGTCCGTGGACCAGCAGGAGGCGCTCAAGGTAACGGAACTGAGCGAAGGCGTAATCGCTGGACATCACAGCCTGCATCCCCTCCTGACCGCTGATGCCCACACCGATGTCCGCAGCTGCAAAGGAGCATGGGAAGGAGAAGTTGGCTCTACAATGGCACTTTTAAACTCTTGAGAAAACACTTAAAATGAATTAATACTTTGAATAAAAGTTGATTCTGTGATCATTGCCTGGATCAAGGGTATTATTGTTAACTAAAACTAGAACTATATCCATTTTACTTGAATAAAATAAAATAAAAGAAAAGAAAAGAAAAGAAAAATCTTTCAGCTAGTTGGCGACTGTCGAGGCAACATTTCTAATTTTTTTTAGCTTTATTTGAAGAACTAAAATAACCAAAACTTAAATTTAAAAAAAGAAGCTAGAAACACAACAAAAACACACAACAAAATGACTAAAAATAAAGTAATATATATATATATATATATATAACCATGTATTATTTAAAACTGCCTAAACAACATCTCTAATTTTGGTTTAGTTTAATTTGAGGTACTAAAATAAAAAGAAATAAATAATAATAAAAATACATATTAAAACATATGTTATATTACATATGTAAAAGACATATTAAAAAAACAACATAAAAAACAAAAAACACAACTAAATTACTAAAACTAAAATTAAAATCATAACAGACAACATAAAATAATAAAAACCTACACAAAATATTAATCAGAACTAATAGTTGCCTCTACAACTGCACTTTTGAACTTTTGAAAAAAAATTTAAACTGAATTAATATGAATAAAAAGTTGATTCTCTGATTGTTGTCTGGATCAGGGTTATTATCATTAACAAAAACAAACTAAAACCATAACCACTGTACTGTACTGTACTAAACTAAACTAAACTAAACTAAACTAAACTAAAAACTTATTTCAGCCAGTTGCCAAAACAAAATCTTTAATTTAGGTTTAGTTTAACTTTAAGTACTAAAATAAATAAAACTAAAACTGAAATAAATAATAATAAAAACAGATGTGTTTAAAAAATAAACTTATAAAAATGACAAAAACACACAACAAAATGACTAAAACTTAAACAAAAATTAACATGATAACAGAAAATCTAAAAAAATAAAAACTATAAAAATAAAAAATATTATTCAAATCTCAAACAGAATCTGAATGACACTAAAATAACGCGGGTGTGGGAAATAAATAATAATAAAAACAGATGTGTTTAAAAAATAAACTTATAAAAATGACAAAAACACACAACAAAATGACTAAAACTTAAACAAAAATTAACATGATAACAGAAAATCTAAAATAATAAAAACTCATTTGAAATATTATTCAAATCTCTAACAGAATCTGAATGACACTAAAATAACGCGGGTGTGGATCAGGAATGAGATTGGCTCTCACTCACTCTTGATCATGTTGACGTCGTTGGCTCCATCGCCGATGGACAGAGTCACGGCCTTCTTGCAGCGTTTGACCAGACTGACCACGTTGGCCTTCTGTTTGGGCGTGACGCGGCAGCAGATCACCGCACTGCATTCACACGCCATGTCCACGAAGTCCTCCTGTCTCTTCTCCTTCTCCCAGTCATCCACGGGCTGGCTGCTGTCTGGAGGGTTGGAGGAGTTTGTGTGCCGCTTCCTGAGCTTCTTCAGACGCAAGCGACGACGCTTCTTCTTCTTCTCGTACAGTATCTCATTCTGCACAGAAACCAGAAAGTGCTTTTAGACTAATAGTAGGAGATACAAACTTTACTTTCTAACTTTGGAACATCTTTTATTCGATTCCTGTTGTCCTGATCAACTTTATTTATTTATTTCCATTTTAAAGGTAATATTACAGTCTTTTGTGAGAAAATAAATTATTAGATAATGCCAACATATTTTAACATTTTATTTCCATCCAAATTGTTAATTTCAATATTTCTGCAAGTCACTGCAAAACAATGTCCATAAGGAAAAAATGAAAACTTACTTAACATTTTTAAACTTTAAATTTGAAAGTTACAGTAGCGTTCAAAAGTTTAAGGTGGGTAATTTTATGTTTATGTTTTTGTCTCTTCTGCTCACCAAGTCTGCATTTATTTAATAAAAAACACAGTAATAATGTGAAAAATTATTTTACTTTAAAATAACTGTTTTCTATGTTAATATATAGTCAAATGTAATTTATTGCTGTGATCAAAGCTGAATTTTCAGCATCATTACTCCAGTCTTCAGTGTCACATGATCCTTCAGAAATCATTTGCTGCTCAAGAAACATTTTTCTGCTTCATATTTTTGTGGAAACCGTAATACGTTTAATTTTTCAGGATTCTTTGATGAACAAAAAGTTCAAAAGAACAGCGTTTATTTGAAATTAGAAATATTTTGTACCATTACAAATGTATTTACTGTCACTGTATTAATCACTGTTTTACACTGAAAAAAAAAGTTTTCTTTTCTTTAAAAAAAAAAACTTACTGACCCCAAACTTTTGAATGATTTTGTATTAATTAATAGTTTTGTTTATTTGATGTGTTTATTTGACACTTAAGCAACAGCAGTTCAGTTCCACATGTAGCTTTTTATTCAATTGAACTATATCAACCTCATGTCAAATCGAGTGCTTTGATTTGTGTTTAGGGGTCTTGAAGCATAATGTGAGAGTGGATCAGTGTTTGATGAACGCACCAGCCAGCCTCCAGTGATGACGAGGGCATTCTTGCCGGGCTCTGTGAAAAACAGCTCCTTCAGCTTCTTATTGCGTCCTTGAGGGTCGTTGCGCCTTTGGGTCTGTCTGTTCCTCAGCTGAACACTGAGAGAGTAACAACAAGAGAGTCAGAAAGCAGACGCTCAATCTCAAGCCACTGACACATTCACAGATGTCTGTCAGCTGACACGTACTTCACATCCTCTCCGTAGTGGATCTTCATATCGTCGGTCAGCAGTTGGCAGGAGTAGCCGATGTTCTCAGCGGTCTCTGAGCACGAGGCAAACAAAATCCATTAGAAATCAAACCGGGATTTTACCGTCTGGAAATCTCACTACACACAAACACACACAAGAGTGAGACACAGGTGACAGAGACTGACAGACAGGAAGTGAAGAAGAGAAAGAGAAAGACTCACGGATGATGGACATGCGCTTGCGGTCGCTGTTGAAGTCGAGCAGAGCGAGCATCTCGTAGGTCTCTTCATGGTCCATCTCCATGATGGTGATGGTGTCCTGTGTTCGGGACAGGAACACGAACCCAAAGTTGCATGCGGCGGTGACCAGAGCGCCCTCATCAGGAGACGCGGCCTGGTACACCAACTCATCTGAACACAGAGAAAATATGCAGCACACAAATGAACAGCAGCTTTATTTTACTTTTACACAAAATAGGACTAAGAATGCTAAATAATTCTGAGATGAAAGCAGCACTGAATGAAACATGCTCGTATTATTATTGCATCATCTCAGCAGATAATGATCGTTTTGGTCTCCTCACCCCCTTTCTGCTCAACCATGACGGTGTGACACAAGGACAGGAGTTTGAAGAACTCCAGTATTTGCGGGTCCTTCTTCGAACGGATACAGGAAACGAGGAAATGGTCTTCGAACTGGAACTTCTTGTCGGCGTACTTATTCCAACTAAAATCCACAGGCTGAGCAAAAATTAGAGAGAAAGTGAAATTAATATAAACGACCAATCAAACATTTTGATTA